GCTGAGTTCATATTGCATAAACTAAAAAAAAGGACTGAACAGGAATATTTCCTACAGTGTATTATTTTACTCTTTCCAGAAACAATACATAAAACAATCCAGGAAGCAATGCTTAAAAGGAAATTGCTGGACTCAGCTACTGCACACTTCCTCTGTTCATCTTTGCCAAAAGATGAAACTCGCAGCAGTATCCGCCATAGTCAGTAAAATATCTGGTTTTGTATTTCCTATAGTTAGAAACGGATCTTGGAAATGTTTTTTCTATTACAATTTTTTAAATTTCAAAGACAGGAGCTCACTGAATCCAAACTGTTTGCAAATTAAGTTGGTGTCAAGAAAAGCAGTACTTCCCTTTTATATATGTCGTAGTGAGAAGTAAAAAAAATAATATCCTAAACTTCCCCGGATCACAACACAAACATGAATTGAAATTACTAAATACTATGTATTTATCAGAAGGAGGAACCAAAACAAGGAACCATGATAATCATAATGGCACATAACATTTGATAGCTCCTCCATCTCTTTTGATACTACTCACACATCACTCCAGATTTCACTCCCCATTCAAACACATTCCCCGGGTGTTTCGTTCAACTGTGCATTGGACTCAGCTGCTGGAAAATTGACTTATAAAAAACATCTTCGAGGCCACTATGGCACCAACGGGCCCAAGAGGGCCTCACTATCGCCCTCCTCAAAGTCACCGTGGCACCAACAGGCTCAGGAGGCCCACTGCAGCTCCAGGTGTTTTACTGTTGTTTGCTGTTTGTTCGTTTTGGCAATGAACATTTGTCACTTTGTTACTTTTGCCTGTAAACCACCCTGAAGCCCTTTGCGGAGATAGGGCGGTATATAAATAAAATATTGTTATTGTTGCTGTTGTCTTGTAATTTTCTATACCTACTTTTTATACTTGTATTAGTAATCTTACCATTGCCAAATGGCTCAGCATAGCATAATATTTCCACATGGACTGACCCCGAGATTTCCTGCTGAGCTGCACACTCCTCATGGTGAATGCTGAGGACCTTGGGCATGAATTCCAGAAAAGCATCTGTCTATGTCCCTATACCCAGGCATGAAATGTTTACCCTATGTACTCATGCATAAACCTACCAATTTTAGTTTGTTTTTTTAAAGGCAACCCAAAAGATTTCAGATGACTTGTCCAAAAGTCAGTGTAAGTACTATGCCCAAACTCTTTTATCAAACAAGAAATCGTCCCCTTCTTTGCTAGAATAATGAAAGACAAGAGCCTAGTCTATCCCAGGAGAACCTAAAAGACACATCAACCCCCTCTACTCCTCCCCTCCCCGCCATCATGGCACCACTTCTGATTGGATGGAATTGTAGGCAGCTGCCTCCTTGAGATGATGCTGGCTCTTTCCCCTCTTTATGGAATGCCCCTTGATTTATCCACAGGTCATATAAAAATCTTGATTCCCCCTCCCCTTGATTTGTACAAGGGTTTAGATCAGGCAAGGGCAAACTAACGCCTGGGGGATGGATGCAGTCCCCTTGGCACTTACCACAGGCACTCCTCATTTTCCCTGTCCTCTTGGCATAAGGTCATGGAGGCCTGCCACATCCTTATGTCAAAAATATGGGGGAGGAAAGCACGTAGCAGCTGAGAGCCCTCTGGAGCGCTCCCAGCCACTGTGTGTCTCACCTTCCTTCTGCCATAAGGACGGTGCGAGGGACCCCATCCTTATGCTGGGAGGATGGCTTGAAGAAGGCACGCAGTGGCTGAAAGCCCTCTGGAGCACACTCAGCCACTGTCTGGCTTGGCCTCCTTTTGGCATAATGCCAAGAGGACAGCTCGAGGATCAGGGGAGGAGGATGGGAAGGAGGATCAGGACAGTCACCACATGTCCCACCTTCCCCCCAGCATAAGGATGGGACGAGCATCTCCATCCTTATGCTGGGAGAACAACCTGAGGAATACCCGGGCCCTGCCCTGCCCCTCCTGGCCCTGTCCTTTCCAGGGTCCTCCCCACCCAGGGTGTTCCCAACTCCTCTCTCTCCTGGCCAGGTTCACATTGCGGCCCCATGGCAAAAAAGTTAGCCCATGCCTGGTTTAGATATAAGGATACATTGTCCATATGTGAGATGTCTCAACAGATTATGTCATCATTTCATACCTGGCTATGGAGACATAGCAGATGTTTCTCCAATTGTCCCCCAGCCCAGTATGGGAGGCTGGGTTTCCAACCTAGGGGAGGGGGTTTGGTGATTGTAGTAAGAAGAAGGGAAATACCAAAAAAGACAGACACAGGATTATGGCTGCTTTTAACTATCATTTTTGTCTAACAGGATAAACAACCCACGTTTAAATAAGTATGCTTCTAGTTTGAGTGTTGGAGCTGCTGTGAATGTGTGCCTGTCACATTGGGGTCACAAATAAATACTGGCTACACTTGACCCTGTTAATTGTTTAAATCATACCAGAAGCATCCTGACAATCTGTACTAATGAACTAAAAACATTGATTGTGAACCTCTAAGAGCCTAGGCACGTGTTTCTGCATGGAGCTGGGGAATCGGTTTGATCCTTTTGTAGCTTTTCAAATTGTAGCATTCTGACGCATTACAGCCTATGTTTGTCAAAAGAGTTCAGCAAAAATGAAGGAAGGAACCAGAAGACATAACAGTACATATTGTTCAGGTTCAATCCCCACACCAACCACACTCCCAACAGCAGGCTGAGAAGCTACTTAGTGTTAGAAATTGATGAGATCCTGCCAACTGCTACAGTAATCTTGAAACAATACCAGACTAAGGTAGGATGGATTGCGATCCATGAAGTCCCATGTTAAATAAATCAGTTGACCTCAAAGGTGGGAAAGTGTGTCTGTTTTCCCACTGCTCCAAACACTTTGCAATTGAAAATGACGTGGTGTTTTTCTTTTTAAATATGCCAAACTATATAAAACAACATGCACACCTGAGTCATTAAAGGAAGTCTCTAAAATAACATGAAAACAGTGGCAAAGCAAGCTCACCACATGAAAACCAGAGAGGACTCCAGGGCATAAATAAACATTATTCATACCACATTTTGGGACAAATATCAAGCACATGCCAGAAGATGTAGTCCTAGAAAACCAAGTTATGTTGTAATAGAGCATTCTGCTGTCAGTCAATTGGGGCACATCTGCACAGCAACACCCTGCTTTTCTAGCTAGGCAAGAACAGAAGGAGGCTCCATGCAAAAGATACATCCCTTCTGCCCGAGAGTAACCCTATGTTAAGAAAGCTGGCAGGCTCCCTCAAAAAAATTTTCCAGTCATGTTGACAATTTGCTTGATGTTCTTCCTTGCAGGTGGACTGAAGATTGCTCTACATACAGTGGTTCCCAACCTTTGGTCCTCCAGGTGTTTTTGCCCCAATTCCTAACAGCTGGTAAACAGGCTGGGATTTCTGGGAGTTGAAGGCAAAAACAACTGGAAGACCAAATATTGAGAAACACTGCTCTCCAGCAATGTATTTCAGTTCCTGAGACAAGTTCAAGTAAGTCTCTTAACTATATGATATTCCTTGTATGACATTTACATGGATCCACTTGAACAGCAGCTGTTGTTGTGGTGGTGGTGGTGGTGGTGGGGGGCGGGTGTTATCATCGAGACACATAGTTGTATGAATTTTTTACAACTAGACAAAACGTGCAGTCATTGCTCCACATTTGTGGTTTCGACTTTTGAGGATTTCAGTATTCAGAGATCTGATTTAAAACATTTTCTCTAGAATCTCTCAGTTCCTCCAATGTGACTCTATAGTCTAATCTATAGTATAATCCATTCAAGATGAAAGATTATAGAATCATAGAATCATTAAGTTGGAAGAGACCTCATGGGCCATCCAGACCAACCCCTTGCCAAGAATCAGGAAAATCGTATTCAAATGGCCATCCAGCCTATGTTTAAAAGCCTCCAAAGAAGGAGCCTCCACCACACCTGGAGATTTTTAGAGATAACACCTTTCCAGTCTTCCAATGTGATTCTATGTTCAGCTTCCAGAGAATGCAGACCATAGAAGTATGCTGGAAGATCTAGAAAATCCAAAAGAGGCGTTCTCTCAGATAAAAAAATAGCAATTTCTTTATTCACTGTTTTTTCACTTTCATTGGGGGTCCTGTATTCCTAACCCCAGCAAATGTGAAGGGCTGACTATAGATGATATTCCTGTTCCAAGTGACTAAAATACAGGTGTGTGTGTGTGTGGAGGAGGAAAGCAATTACCCCATCCTCCCATCTCAGTTTTGATATGACAATCTCGCCTTTCTATGGAGATCCCTCATACAATTTCAAATGTTGGGAAATCAGCATTTAGAGTAACATTAATAAACTTGAGAAGGATTTTTTTTGAGTTAGGTATTTCAAATGCACAGAGACACATTCCTATATTGAGTTTTTCTGAAAGTGTGAATGTCAATAACAAACCCATACTAGTGTGCCAAATATTTTTGTTTCTGCTCCACTAAATCTTTGTTTACTTACCTAGTTGAGCAACTATCAGATGAGAAAGACTCAAATAAGTTATTCTTTTTGGATTCTGGAATGTACATACAAATTAACTCACCTTACGGGTTTGGAACCATTTTTCATTAGCAGAAGCACAAAACAGATTTTTATTTGCAAGAGGTAGGTGCAGAGCACACTACAAAATGTTTTAAATTCACCCTCCTCCCCCCAATAATGAAATCTTAAATATTATTTATATGGAGTTTTAATAAACTCAAAAGTCAATCAAATCAAGGGAACGTCATTCAGTTATACCAGTGGTTCTCAACCTATGGGTCCCCTGATGTTTTGGCCCTGAACTCCCAGAAATCCTAACAGCTGGTAAACTGGCTGGGATTTCTGGAAGTTGTAGGCCAAAACACCTGGGGACCCACAGGTTGAGAACCACTGAGTTATATAGTTGGAAACACTATATTGGAAGAATATCAGAGCACTGCTAGACAATTGATGCATCTGCAATTACTTATCACCGACTCACCTGAGTGTCTATTTTTATTAGTGCAATATCTGCTTTCTCGTCAACATCTTTAATTTTAGCTTCATACATGACACCATTCTTCAGTTCCACTTTTACTTTGTTTTTATTGGTAACCACATGGGCATTGGTAACTATCAATCCATCTTCAGAAACAATGAACCCCGAGCCACTAGCAACAGGAACTTCCCTCTTTGAAAAAAGCAGCCTAGAAGAAATAAAGTTTTGGGGGAAAGAAGTATATGAACACAGTGTTAAAAGATAGTAAAAACAATCTATTTCTTTCATTTTTTTAATACTGAGAAGGCACAGTTTGGTTTTGTAAAACCTCAGACACTATATATACACTACTTTCAAAACATATTCATTACTGCATTAATTTTTTTTCACTTGGTAAGTACTTAAGAAAATGACAACATACAACTTTATTTGTTGTCTAAAGTCAATTGTTAGCCCTGATTAGAGGAGACCCACTGAATCTATGGGATTTAATAAAGTCTTGACATAAAAGGCCCTATTCATTGGAGGGGGTGATTCTAGTTGGAATTAACAATTATTCTTAATATTATGCTTAGAAAAAGCAGTATTTTTACAGAAGTACACAAAATGCAAGAAGTCACAAGGGGAATTATAAAATTTGGATCTTTTGCTTACTTGCGAAACAATTCAATATGAACAACAGCTGGGGCGATCTTCTCTACCACATCTGCAATGAAGTTGTATTTGTGCCGCAAGCTATTGGGATCTTCCTGGCCTGAGGAGTAAACAGAAAACACTTGTCATCAGTTATGAGTTGTATAAAGAATTGCAAAACATTTGTCTTAAAAAGAGAAGCTTGTGGCCAATGAAGTTTTACAAAAATGTCTTAAAACTTAACATTTAGTGGCAAGAGAAAGATTATATTTAATTACCAGAATAGTACAGAACAAAAGTTAATCCAATAACAAACAATGAAGAGGACTGTATTTCTAAGAGCACTGTATTTCAACTTCATGCTCCAGACATCCCTTCCCCATAGTACTGAGGGTGCATCTACACCAGTGGTTCCCAACCTGTGGTCCACAAGAACAAAAATATGGTCTGCGGCCTCACCATTACTACACAGATGCAACGAGAGCGACTGGTCTCACAAAACCCTCTTATAGTGCTGAAGCTCATTAAATATGGTTTTCTTTTTTATAGTGTTTAGTGAGTTTTGCATATATAAAATAAAATAGAGAAGGGTGAAGCAGAACAAAAAAGAAGATAGATGCATTTTGAAAAGGAAAGATACATACATACGCACATACGCACACGTATATGAAAATTGGAAAAATCAGAAAAAAAACAAAGTTCCACATATGGTTTTCTGTGGGTGGGCAGATGGAGACTACTGGATCACAGATGTTCTGTATCAGAAATTAGATCTGATGTGGTCTAGTCAATGCAATTTTCTGAATCAACACCCCAAATAACCAAACCAAATTAAAGTTGACCAAAAAAGGGGCCCCTGGTCAACATGGTCCCTGGTCAAAAGAAAGTTGGGAACCACTGATCTACATGGTAAAATTAATGCAGTTTGCCACCACACTATGCGCCATGCCCCAATGCCATGGAATCATAGCAGCTGTAGTTTTACAAAATGTGTAGCCCTCTCTGCCAAAAATGGATTTTACATCACCAAACTACAACTCCCAAGATTCTATAGCATCGAGCCATGACACTTAAAGTGGTGTCAAACTGCATTGATTCTGTCTTGGGATAAAGAATGAATCCCATGTTGAATTAAAAAATCCCATCTTGGGAGAAAAATGGAATATAAAATCAATCAATCAATAAGTGAAACTAACAGAGGAAAAGTGTTCTTGCCATACATCAGGGGAACCACTGACCGCATAGGGAAGCTGATGAGGAAACACAACATACAATCTACAGACCCACTAAGAAAATCTGATAAAAGCTACGTTCAGCAAAGGACAAGAGGGATCCTCTCCCCTCTGTAGGAGTCTACCGTGTACAATGCAGCTGTGGACAAGTCTACATAGGGACCATCAAACGCAGCATTGCCCAAACACGAATCAAGGAACATGAAAGGCATTGCAGACTACTTCAACCTGAGAAGATATAGCAGAGCACCTGATGAACCAACCTGGACATAGCATATTATTTGAGAACACAGAAATGCTGGACCACTCTCACAACTACTATGTCAGGCTACACAGAGAAGCCATTAAAATCCACAAGCATGTGGACAATTTCTACAGAAAGGAAGAAACCATGAAAATGAACAAAATCTGGCTACTAGTATTAAAAAAAACCTCTAAAATTATAACAGTAAATAAGGAACAAAACTCAAACATAGGGCAACTCCAGACAAGAAATGATCAGGAACACCCAATCACTCTCAACAAAGCATTTTCCCAGGCATTAACAATCCACACCTAAAAACTGTTGGGCCATGGAATGCTAATCAAGGTGGCCAATTGAAACATTTCTACCTAGCTCCAACAAACAAGAGTTCTTTCTCCCACCCTGAACTTTCCACAGATATATAAACCCAATTTTCCTAGTTTCCAACAGGCCTCACTACCTCAGAGGATGCCTGCCACAGATGCAGGCGAAACATCAGGAACATGACCATACAGCCCGAAAAACCTACAACAACCCAGAAATTAACATTTTTACATAGAAGGGTCTTGTTTTGTACCTCAAGTTCAACTTTCAGCCTTCTGACTGTCAAAAATATGGGTCTTTCTTTAAGCAATATATGGACAGTCGTTTTAGTAAATAGTTCAGTTATACATTAATGCACACACAAGCATAGAGACTGAAATAATTTTATATAATACTCTTTAGTCAGGTATTGCCTGTTTACCATTCACTTTAGAGTTAATCAAATGTATTGGAGACAGATAAGAACTGCTTCTCTTCCCTTTTCTAAGAAACGTGTTGCATCTTTAAGTCCTTTCCAATGGATGGCATCCCTATCACAGGGTTTTCCTAGCAAGATTTTTTCAGAGTGAGTTTTTCATTGCCTTCCTTGTGAGTGGTGACAACAAAGAGAAGCTAAGACAATACCTTTTTCTGATGTTTATCCACTCATATCCCCGCCAATGCTTTTCCATCAATGAAGAAAGGAAAGGAGATTTGAATAAAAATAGAAGGGCATTAATATTAATATTAACCGAGTTCCCAGACATGGCCTCCAAGGTTACTTTACCCCTAATTAAGTCTCATATGCAGTTTAATCTTTACTATTAGCAGACATTACATTCTCTGTTTGCATGGGCTTCTTATCAGTTGCAAAATAGGTTGGGTTTTTTTCAAAGATTATGAGCTTAATGTGGTGACCTTTCCATCAAGGCATCTATCAGCAGTTTTAGTGGTGAAAGTGTTCATTCAGACAATAAATGGTAGCACTGAAAGCTCAAAGAAGTTGAATCTTTATCCTAAAATGCATTGCATGTGTATGTATGATCTCATTTGCCCTTTTTGACTTATTCTTTACTGCCGCTATGCTCTTTTGTGGTGGAGGCAGCAACAGTAGTAATTTGAATTTACAGCTCCAAACCTCTTTTCCAGAATGGCCTTACTGTTTGCTGTTAAGTCGTTTTAATGCAGTGATTGATCTTTAATAAAAGCAAGCTGTTTCACTGCTGATAACTACACGGTTATGCAGCAATATATTCATTACTGTATGCCTGCCTATCTTAAGTGGTCATTACTTTATGCCTAAAAAGCTGCTTTTGAAAGTATTATGTAACTTGCACTCAAGCCATTTTTTCATGTCAGGAGTGACTTGAGAAACTGCAAGTCACTTCTGGTTTGAGAGAATTGGCCATCTGCAAGAACATTGTCCAGGGACACCCGGATGTTTGTTATTTTACCATCCTTGTGGGAAGTTTCTCTCATGTCCCTGCATGGGGAGATGGAGCTGACGGAAGGAGCTCATCTGTGCTCTCCGTGAATTCAAACCTCTGACCTATCGGTCTTCAGTCCTGCTGGCACAAGGGTTTAACCCACTGCACTACCGGGGGCTCCTTGCAGAACATGGTAATGTAACACAAGAGACATCATCCATAAATAAAATAAAATAAAATAATATTTACACAATGCTACCATTAAAACATCCCAACCCCTGTCCTAGCAGATCCTGTTAAAAATTTCCCATTTAAATCCGCCATCCATTTGGAAACAGGCCATTATCAAAGGCCTGTTTCCATAGGCAAGTTTTTCATCTCTTCCCTGAAGATCAATAGCACGGGGAGCTGGAGCTGACAGATGGGAGCTCACCTTACTCACCAGATTCAAACCACCAACCTTTTGGAGCAGCAGTCCTGTTGGCACAAGGGTTTAACCCATGGCGCCACCAGGGACTCCACTCTAGCCATGATGCGCTCAGAAATATAATCCCAATACTTTTCTCAACTCACAAAACCTTGTTCTTGTGTGTCTTCAAGTCATTTATAAATGACAGTAACACTAAAGTGAATTTATTGCAGGGCTTTTTAGGTTTGGTGGGGGGGGGGTAGAGTCATATGGGGCTGGGGCCATTCCTCCTTCACCACCTCCCTCTCTCTCAAATGTATAACAGTTTTGTAAAAACCCAGTAAACCTAAGGTGCCATCTAATCTAAAGTGCACCCCATTTTTGAAGCCCCTTAAAACAGAGAAAAACTTGTGCCTTAGATTTGCTAAAATAACAGTATATATGTGTTTATGTGTACGCAAACACAACAGGAGCTATCCAGTGTATGGAACGATCCACTTTTGCTCATGGGTCATATTCACAAACATACAGCTTATGCCTAAAATACTAGAAACAGCAGGATTTGGACAGCATGCAGTCTAGGGAAGCTGTTGTCCGACGCTACAGAATCAAAAATGAGAGAATAGGAAGTCTTGACACTAATAGAGAATGCACAGGTACAGTTTGTATGTCAAAAGTGTGGTGGTCATTGAGCTTCCTAGAAGCCATTCAAATGGCTGGTCATGACCTATAAAGTCCTATGTAGCTTGGGCGCTAGACTATCTGAAAAGCCACATCTTTCCATATGAATTTGCTAGGTTCCTAAGATCCTAGCAAAGGGGAAGTCCTTCTCTTGGTCCCACCACCATCAGAGTCTTGGTTGCTGAAAACATGGAGCCTCTCAGCAGTTGCTCCTACCCTCTGGAAAGCCCTTGCACAGGAGGCTAGGCTGTATCCTTCTTCAGTTTTCCTTCTTCTTTTTTCTTTAAGCAGGTGCTTAAAAGCAAGAGAGGGGCTTTTGTTGGGAAGGTTTTATGTGTCTTCTTCAACTTGTGTATGATTTAATTGACTGTGCCGAAGATTGCTGGTACCTCACCAAACTACAGCTCCAAGAATTCAACAGAACTGAGCCATGACAGTTAAAGATGTGTCAAACTTCATTAAATCTACATGGTAGATGCACCCAGGAACAGTTTTAACCAGTTACCCGTAGCAATTCTGTCCCACTATTTTGACATTCCAAGACCTTTTGATAATACCTATGGCTAAAAGCAGTCAGATGAAATAAGTTTCATCAGAGATTCTAGAGAAAACATCATGTCGGCAATAGCTCCTGTGTTTGTTTCATTGACAAGATTCAACCAGAAAAGCCCTTCAGATTCTCTTGCATATTTACACACATAATTTCTGATACGTTGAAAGGCTTTACTGGTATTCCTGAGCACTTCTTCAGATACCATGGGTGCAATGAACCAAGTGGGCCTTTCAATCCTCACAAAACACTAATTCATGTTAAGAATGCTTTTT